ATCTACAGTGGTCCCTTGACTTATGAACTTGATGGTTCCCAAGGGCTGGTTGTAACCCAAGTTGGTTGTAGGTTAATACAACTGATATCTGGATGTTTACCTGGGTACATGCTATAGATAACAACAACAATGGAAGATGAATCTTTCATTAATCTAATTAACCCAAGTTGTTCTTGTGTCAGGCCAGTCATAACTAGAAGGTCTACTGTACTTCATGCCCACACCCAATCCCACATTATCCCAAAACCATGTTCTTTACTTCCTTTCCTTCAAACATGTTTGTCATTTTCACCAAAATTTGCCACCACCATCCCATCATTATCTACTCCAATACTCAAACTCTGAACCCTAGAATTACCTTGTTTCCTTCTGCATCTCTCACTGATTGCTACTCCACCCCATCTGTGAATCCCCTCAGCTCTACCTCCTGACCCATCTCCTGACTTCCACACTGACTACCACCATCACCTCCTGAAAGTATGTCAACAGCTGCCAAGCTAGCCCATGACCAAGCAAATAAGTGACCCAATTAAAATTAAAATATCACTCATGTCCCTGCTTAAAACTTCCCATGACTCTCAGAATAAAAAACCAACTCCTGATTGAGGCTAACAGTAATTTATACAACCAGTTTCCTGTCTGCCTCTCATCTTCTCATCCCTTCTCTCCTATCAGTGTGTCAAGCTCATTCCTGCCTCAAAACCTCGGCTCCTGCCAGTTCATCTTCGCAAAATGCCATCCACGTGGCTGGCTCTTTTCCTGATTTAAGCCCCGGTTCAAATGATAAGCATAGATTTTTAAAGGCACCCTGCTTCAAGCCACTCTTGCCTCCTGTAAACCTTGTTTTATTTCCTCTTTAGTCCACGACATCTGACATTCTCTGAATTAGCTACGCTACAGAGAAGGGGCCCTGCCTGCCTCACGCATTGTTGTAATCCCAGCACATGGAATGGGGCTCAGTACATGGCCGAAACTCAATACGTAGGCTGGATCTAAAATAAAATGCATTTCACTTGATTGGATTTTTGGGGGCAGAGGAGGAGACAAGAGCCTTACCTCTCAGAATGATTAATATGTTGAGCAAAAGTGTATCAGTGAAAGCACTAAACACTACATTTCAGACACTACCCAGCTAAATTCAGGGCTTTAGGAAGTAGCAGTAGTAGGGGCAACTTCTGTGATTTCCATGGGTTCTGTCTGTACAGAACAGACTGCACATGCATCAGTACACCTCTTGAGACAGATACCACCACCATTCCTACCTCATAAAGCAACTCATACAAGGCAGTACTGGTAATCAGCTACAGAGCTGAGGTCAACACTTGCTTATTCTATGCAACGAAGCAATTATTGAATAACTACAGTATGCCAGCACTGTGCAATACTCTGGCTATGAAGCTGCGCCTTTCCCCAAGAAGCCTCCATTTCTTTCTGAGCTTGGACTCACAGCAGAGTGCGCTGTACTCCCCTAGGAGCCACAGGCCAGCCGCTCTTCAGTTAGACAGCTCATCCCACTCAAACCTGCAACTCAGCACAACCACAAGTCAAGCAATTATGAGCACTCAAAAATCAGCACTGGGAACCACAGAATCCCTAAAGGCCCATGTCAGGAGCTCGGCCCTTTGAGTCTATTAACTAATAATCACTGTGCCATCAGTAACTCCTTTTCTTATGCCCAGGAACACTCTGGTCAATAAACCTGTCTGTCTAAACCACGTGTAGCATTTTCACTGTAAAAAAAACCCAGTTCGATTACCAAAGACAGTTCAAGGGCTAAGGCCTCAATTACCTGACCCAAAATACGATTCATCAGTTACGACAGGACATTTCTGTGACTGATATTCTAGAAACAAGAGACATAAACCGGGCCTATCCCAGACAAATCAAGAAGCAGGGTCACCTCAAGTCTTAATTCTCTCATCTGTGAAACAGAAGGAATAAGGATCCCTAACCTTCCTCACATGGTGGTTGTGAGAATCAAGTACCAGTCTACTGTACAATTAAATGCTTTGGAAACAAAAAGATAACAATACACTTAAGACACTACAGGATAAAGCATAGGGTTCTAAAAACAAACTTCAGAGTTGAAAAAAAATTTAGTCATTTTTCCAAAGCAATTACATACATAAAATCATTGTTTTTGTGTGGCACTAGGAATTGAACTCAGGGCCATTGCACAAAGCTTCATCCCCAGCCCTCTAAAAAATTCTTTTAAATTTTAAGATATGATCTCACTAAGTTGCCAAATTGCCCAGGCTGGATTCAGACTTGTGATCCTCTGGCCTTAGCCTCCCAGAGCACTGGGATTACAAGTGTGTACCACCATGGCTGTGCACCACTTTAAACCAGGACTCCACTAAAATCTAAGGACAGGAGTTTGTCCATCATTTTCAATACATGCATCTAGCCCAGCGTCTGGCATATTTCCAAATGAATCAATGAATGCACAAAAATTCGTTAATTTAAAAACTTTTACCGCCAAACTCTCCCACAATCGGTGATCAGAGTGCATCTTATTCAGTAGGCCCAGCCTCTGCAGAGGCCAAGTACAGACTGACCCCGCCAGGTATGTATTAACCCTGCCTGAACAATTCTTAACAATTTACAATATTTCCACTCATTTCCTTGACGTTTCTGAGGCTACTCAGATTGCTTATTCTTTGATCCTTAAGGAAAAGGTGAAATTTGAAGAGTCAACTGTCTGTCAATCAAATGTCAGTCCCATTTCCTGCATTTACAGTCCCACAAGACCATCAATGCTGTAAAACTGCCGATACATAAACTTCCCAGGGAGAACACAACACCCAGTACTGGAAGGACATTTCTGGGTCCATTTCTGCTCCATTCTCTAACCACCCCAGCAGTGGCGACAAGGTCCACTAGCCTAGATCTCTGAGCTGGAGCTTCCCTTTGCCTCTGGGAGAAGCCCTAAGACAGTGGTGGTGAACCTATGGCATGCATGTTATTTCTTCTAAGACAGAACATCTTAAAGTTTGAGCTATTCTTTCTGAACTAAAACCTTGTATTCAGGTTTAACTACAGTGTTGGCACCTTGCGATGATTACGTGGGTTTGGGGGATTGCAGTTTGGTCTCTAAAAGGTTTGCCATCCCTGCCTCAAGATGTCTCCAAGGCCCAGTGTATTTCTTTGTAAAATGTAGATGCCATCCTGTTAGGCTACCTCATGGACTTGAACTGAAGAGTAAATGAAATGTGTGGAGTTTTCTAAAGAACACTGTACTTGCTATACAAATTAAAGGTGAGAGTGAAGATGAGACTGAGAATCGAGTCCAGCACTGTTACAGCCCAACCTAGTCTGTTCATCTAATGAGCCCACAGCAAGTCCCTGCCCTAAGACTAGAAGCAGCCTCTGGAGGGATGAGTGGTGGCCCAGAGACCATGAAGCTAGCATCTCTCTCCAATTCCTCCTCCTCCAGTTCTCCTTCTGTTGGGAAAAATGGAAATACAAACAAAAGGAGCACTGCAATTGGAACATTTTTCCTCCAAGGTAGTAACATTAGATTCGAACCCTGTAATTCTCTGATTTCCAGGCACTAAAATGCTCAAACAATTGTACTGTTAAGAATTTACTTTAGCTTTTTTTGCCCTAAACTTGGCTCTAAGTACCTACCCCTATTCCCAGTAACTTTGTCCTGTAAAATCCTGAAATTAATCACTAGCCTAATTCAGGTTCAGGCAACTATTAACTGCGGGCCAAAGCTGATCTAGTAAATCAAGTTTTATTGGAACAAAACCACACCAATTTATTTACATAATGTTAGGGCTGCCTTCACACTACAAAGACATAGTTCAGTAGTTGGAAATGAGATGGTATGGCCCATGAAACCTAAAATATTTACTATCTAGCCCTTTATAGAAAATTTGCCAACACTTGCTCTAATTTATCTATCTGACTTAAAATACAAGAGGAAAGAGTACAACCTATGTCCACTAAATAAACTTTTTCTTGAGAACAAACTTTTCACTTAAAAAAATAGTAGCAAGCCTTACATTTATAGAATCAGCGCTGCTGGGTGTTGAACCAAATATTTTCAGATTCTGCATCAACAGGACAAGTATATTTTCCTACATGGCCATAATCCTACTCTGCTGACCTAATTTTACCGATTTCTCATAAAAACATCAATTTAAACTGAATCAACAAACATAGCACCTTCAGTCCCAATGTAATTTTCTAAAAATATTAGTTTTAAAAGTAGGGCCTAAACAATACCTTTCCACAAAAGTATTTTCTTCAATTAAAACATAAAATTAAACTGAGATAATACAATTTCTGTTCATGTTTGTAGATGTGCATAAAATATAGTATTAGGTTAAATAGAATAACACTAAGGTAAATATATCTGAAAATGTAAGCAGCACTCAAAAAAAAGCAAAATCAAATATCCAATTTATACTTTTAAATAAAAACAGGGTTACTCACTGATGTAAAGAGGATCCTTTACTTCCCAGCCCTTGATACCCCTTCAGGTGGTAGATTAGCTTTCTACAGTCTGAATATTGTGGGGAAAAAAATCTGTACATGGGAAGAGTGATGAGCTTGTCACCTTCCTCTCTCCCCCTTGATGAAATAAGTGGTTCTAAAGCATGGATGATCAAGGACTTTGAGATGGCGCCAAGAAAAAAAAAGAAAAGAAAAAGACAGAAAAAGAAAAGGTAAGCCATTTCAGAAAATACAGGCTCTAAAAGAAGTTTTATCTCTAAAATATAACCCCAAATGTCATACTTGTAAGGATGGTTCCTTTAATTGCTGCTACACTCCCTTCACCAAAAACTAATCCATTCATTCCAAATTGAAAGTTCGAATTTGAGTATTTTCTGTTAAAATCAGTTGCCATTATGTCCTGTTCAGAAAATTTCAGAACAGAAAAATAACAAACTTCCTCAACTGCCCCTCTTCTAATGTCTTCCTATAAAGCCCATCCTAACTGTGTTCAAACTGTCTGGCCAGGAAAACCTGTCATACACAAAGATACAAACCTCTCGTCGAACGACACTTGCAGTCCTCTCTAAGTGGTCCGTTTTCCTTTTGGATTTCATTGTGCTTTAATAAAAAGTAAAATTAGGTTATTAAGTCCTCATAAATTAGGTTATTTATCCTCATAAAAATAAAATTAGTTTACCCTGCAATATTATGGCTATCCAAAATACACAGTGGACCCCGACTGATGATCCTTGGTTCCCAAGAGCTGGTTGTAACCCAAGTTGGTTGTAAGTCAATATAGCTGAGATCTGGATGTTTACCTGGGTACACGCTATAGATAACAAGAGGCAGATGAATCTTCCATTAACCCAACCCAACTTGTTCATATGTCAGGCCAGTTGTAACTTGACGGTCCACTGTAATATCATGCATACTACAAAATAGTGAAAATGTGCACATCTAACTAAATGTACACATGATCTACTGATGGCATGCATATTTAAGCCAAAATGCTGCCTCTTCGGGGAGTTGTATATGCTTCTCACAAACATCAGCAGATCAGGTCTCTGAAAATAAACCACACACAATACCAGACTGGTAACTCACCTGCTCAGACTAAGGTTGCGCACAGTACGGGGTGTCAGCCTTGACGAAGCAGCCCGAGTGCAAACGGCTCCAACAGAGCTTCCCACCAACCCAGGAACCAAGGCAGCAACACAGGTCATGGTGCTTCCTGGCAAGCAATACTCAAACTTAAAAACTTATTTTAAGAAAAAGTGGGGAAACATCAACTATTTTAGGGGTCAATAAAAAAAAAAGTTTGGATTTCTGTAGTGCAATTATGACCTGGTCTGTCAGCAAAACAAGCAAGGTCTTAACTTCACCTGGAAAAATAGCTGCCACTATTTAGAGCTCATTCAAATATGTAACTATTGGTGCTATCAAATATAATCATGTATCACTTCACAATGGGAATATATTCTGAGAAGTGCTTCATTAGGGGATCCCATCACTATGTAAACACCATACAGAATATCTGCACAAACCTGGACAATGTATGTTACTCAATATGGCCTCTTGATGCAATCAATACACTGTACATGAGACACACAAGGCTGCTGCCACTAGTGTAACATGGCATACTGTTTTACAGTAAAATTACAAGCATATTCTAAAATAATATAGTAAATATATAAGCCAGTAATGTGGCCACTTATTAAGTACTATGACCATACCTGTCTGTGCCATACTTTCATAGAACTGACAGCACAGGAGGTTTGTTTACACAGCATCATTACAAACATAAATTGTGCTCTGATGTTATAATGGCTACAGTGTTACTATGTGACAGGAGGCTCTCAACTCCACTGCAATCTTATGGGATGTATGTGCAATTCTTTGTTGACTAAAACATCATTATGCAGCATTCGATGAAAGTTACATTCTGTTGGTTTCCAAAAATCCGTTAACCAAGTTTATGTGACTACTTATGCTATTATAGAAGAGGAAAGTAGATTCATAACTGCTGATATTTACTGTATTCCACCTGATGAGGACCATATAGTCTTTACTATTTCTTCTTAGAGGAAAAGCAAGAGGCAGAGAGATTTACTGAGGTCCCGAGACATAAAAAGCTTAAGATCTAGATAGTAAAAACACCATATAATTCTATATATAATAGCCCACACTAGAAACTATCAAAATGCCACTAAAAACTATCAAAATGCCACAGCAAAGACAATGAGTGAACTACTTACAGTACTATAACTGAGTACCACAAATACAATTCTGAATGAAAGAAGCCACGCTCACAAGAGCACATGTTCTTAGATTTCAACCACATACAGTGCAAAAAAGGCAAAATTAATCTATGATGTTAGAAATCAAGCAAGCCATTACCCTTGGGGGAAGGCCAAAACAATGCTGTTTCTTTATCTGGACACTGATTACCTGGGGATTTGCACTTTGAAAAATTCATCAATTGTCCTTTTAGGAGTTGTGTACCCTTTACTTTGGATACTATGCTTAAATTAAAAGTTAAACACACACACACACACACACACACACACACACACAGAAAGGCTTCTCAACATTTCAATTCTTAAAACCACTGGACTCTCAGATGCTGGAAAAATAAGGGAAATAAAGGGAGAGGGGGTAAAAAGAAGGGAACTGAAATGTGTTATGTACATGTGCCTTTCCCCTACAGTGAATGTAATCATTATGTATTGCAAACATGTACTAATAAAAGAAAAAGTAAAAACAAACAAAAGTACATAGAAGATATTATAAATGCTGCAAACCTTGGAGGAAGAATTTAGTCTTTAGATCTTTCATATATTATTTCTGGTACACATTTTGGAAGCATATTTATGGTATAATGACTTCTAAGTTATAATACAACTTATTTGAATTATACTACAGGTTGGCACAAAAGTCAAATGTTTTCTGTCATGAAGATGTTTTTAAGTAGGGAAAAAGGAATTAAAATATATTAGGTACATGTACCAACTCCCCACAAGAAATGTAAACATTATGTGCCACAAGCATGTACTAAGAAAAAAAGAAAAAAAAAACTGGACTCTCAGGAAAAGCACTGATTAGGAGTCAAATGATGTGTGTGTGTGTGTGTGTGTGTGTGTGTGTGTGTGTGTGTGTATTTGGTTCCTCTCAACACTATTTTCTTAGGCCAATTTTTAACTCTTTGCCCAAAACAGCCACATTGAACATGCTATATTGTCATATATTAACTATCTTTTTCTATCTTAATTATCTTGAGAATAAAAATGTATGTGAACACTTCTTCTGAGCTCTTTGGAAGGCACCATATAACCCTAATAAATTTAGTTAAGAAAACAGTCAAGCTAATTAAGGAAGCTTCACATTCACTTAGTCCTTCATTCGACAGTCATTAGGAGTCCAGTAGGAGGCAGGCACAGGCTTAGTCACCGGTAATACAGGTATGAAGAAAACAAAAAGCCTCTCAGCTTACATACTAAAAGACAGAGACAGAAATCACGCAGTGATATAAGCCGAGTATGATTTACTCAGCTATAATCAAATAACAAAACTCCACTGCTTTATAACTACTCTTTAGATAAAAGATCTATTTCTTCTTGATATAGTACAATTCAGCATTTTTGTGAACAAACACACTACTGGTTATTTTTCTAATAAATGAAAAAGTATAGTTACCCTTTCATGCAAGATTACTGTATCTTCTCTCCTTTAAATGCACTAAACCAAAAAAACGATGTGTAAATCACTGAAAGGAAGAAGGTGAAACTTACTTTAGAAGTCCATGAGATTTCAGAAGTCATTAAGCATATGACTGACTAATGCAAAATATTTTGATTGTGGTATTTTACTGATATCAATCAGAACATGGACAGTTTTCCCATATACTGAAATTTTCACAAAGTTCCTGGAATGGCAGAGACAAAACATAAGAAAAATGTTTTTGGGAAACTAAGAAAAAGCCCTAGTAAGTCTTGGCTGCAAAAGCAAAGGTTCAATATAATCAGCAGGCACCTCTCCCAGCTTGCCTACCCTCCCCACTCCCCACCTTGCCCCCTCATCTTCCCACTTCTCTTTTCTGATTATTTCACTGCTTCTCTTGTTCAGCTTTCTTGGCCCTACTAACTCCTACTACTTAGGCAAGTCCAGTCCATGAAATTCCCTTTCATCCTGTTTTCCCCCTGCCATATGCTGGCCATCCTCCTTGCCTGGCCACTGATGGTTCCTCTCATGCTTCTGCACAAGCTGCACTTGCACGTGCTAAAGAAGTAAAAACATAGCCAAACCCCAGACGGATAGTTACATATCATTTAAGGCCAAATTTAAGGCCAAATCTGTGGGAATCCTGTTCTATTTAATGTTTTAGACAGCTATTACTAACATAATCTTTCCAATAGGAAATAACCTTCAGTGACTATGCTGCTTGAATGGTCTACTTCTCAACTGGAAAACAAATGTTAATTTTTAAAAGTTCTTTTTAAAATTCTAAAATTGTTATGTTAACAATAATCATGATCAAGATTGCCACCTACTGGTAAATAAAGAGCATTTTTATAAAATGGTGCTCAAAGTGCCTTCTAAAGCTTTATGTGAGTCCTCGGAATAAAGTATTTTTAAAAATCCACCCATTTCTATATGTCCAAGGGAAAGTATACTTAGTGAACATATTTAGTCAATTGAAACAGATCAACATGTTAAGGAATTTATAAAACTATAAATATCTGTATACTGACAAGCTCTCCACTACCGAAAACATTAAGTATTTCTGAAATGCAAAAAATTTACTACAAATGCTAAATAAAACTGATAGCCCTTATGTGATTTCTGTAACAAATTACTGCAAGCAACAGGTTAAGATTTAGGATTAATCTCACTGGTTTAAATTATATTGTAAGCCTTGGAGATATATTAAGAACCACCAGACACAATGGCCTTGCCATCTTGAAGCCTTTGTACAGACAGAAAATGCTAAACAGATAATTAAGGAGATCATTATAAGGATGAGTGTGATAAAGGCCGAAGGAATGGCCTGAGTGGGGGAGTCTCAACGGTGATGACCATGATGAGCCAAGGCCAGACCGGTCACAGGCAGCCAAGCAGGTAGTAAGGATAAAACATTTTGGCCGCGGAATCAGCAAGAAGGAAGCCCCAAACAAAAACTGGGATGTGAAGGAACCAACTGGTGTGGCTAGAAAGCAGTAACCTGGCTAAGAGTAAAATGAAATAAAGTTGAGTAAGCAGACGTGTTCCCATCACAGAAGGCCATGGTAGGGCTATGAACTTCACCCTAAAAGCAGAGAAGCAATTGAAGAGTGAAAATATAAAAATATACATAAATCACGAAAAAACATGGTCTAATTTGTATTTTTAAATGACTGCCCAGGTTACTGTGTGAAGAATGATTATCCAGGGTCAAGAGTGAAAACAGGAATTCAGGGTATGAGGGAGCAGTGAGAGAGAAAAGCCAAGAATGTTTCACAGAGAAAGACTGTCCTGAAATAAAGCAGTAAATTTTCAAAGCAACTGTGGTACCTGTCAACTTAGAACCCTACGCGTCACTGAGGAAACAAGGGGTACTTGTAGGGAACTTCAGTAGTATGCAATTAGTACAGTGGGCTTCTTTTTGGGTAAATCTTTGGCAAACCATCTTTTACCATGTTAAAAATACCCACACTACTTCATTGGATTGCTGGAAAGAATAAATAGAATATCTGTGGAAGTGCTGGCAAGCCAGAGTATTACTAAAAATCAATCTTCATATACCGACCTTTTTTTTTCATTGCCAAACCCACAGTAGTGGTTTGATAATGGCAAAAAACAATTCTCCATGGACAGATATACAATAGTAGCACTCATCAAATACAGCTGCTATGAACCAATCATGATCTAGTTCTAAATCTGATCTTATACTAAGAATTTTAGTGTTGCCTTCCATAAAAGCAGTGTTAAGTTATGCAAAATAAACTTGGAGCAAATGACCTGGTAGTAAATATGCTTTTGTCATACTCTCAAGTCCAAAAAACGTATCGTTATAAAATGTTTCCATTCTGTTTTAGGGATAAAAGGAAAGTTTGGTAGTCACTGTGTTTTCTTTAAGTGTTGAGGAGTAGAAACAAGACAAAAACCTACATTGTATGTTCAGCTATAGTTTTACTTTCTTCAGAACAGTGCAAGTGCACACTGGGCAGAACCACAAGAGGAACCACCCATGGTGGACACGGCGGATGAGCAACAAATAGAAAGATGAAAACAGTATGAACACCCAGGAAAAGCCGCCAAATCTAGGTCTCAGCAGAGTAAGCACTGTGATGTAGAAAATCTATGCTTGTTGGGCCAGGGGATGTGGCTTAGTAGCATCGTGTGTGCCTGGCAAGTGCAAGGTCCTGAGTTCAATACCCTGAACTGCGAAAGAAAATCTATACTTGTTTCATCTAACTCTGTCCAAAGACTCATCACATCATAAGTGGCATTATGGTTAAATAAGAGTCTAAGTTCTGGGATCAGACACATGAGTTGTTACCATGCTTTATTCCAACTTACTAGCTTTGCCTTAGCAAGTTCCATAGGCCCTAAGCTTCAAGTTGCCCGACGTTAAAGATAAGGTTAATGATATCCATACCCCACTGGGTTGTTTTAATGACATAAGGGGTTTGTACAGTGCCTAAAAGATAAATGTCAACTATCAATAATTGGTTCACAAGTTTTTCTTTTTCCAATTTACATACTCAAAGGTAATACATACTCAAAGGAAAGTTTCAAAATTACAAAGATAAGCTACCTGACACCTTCTGTAGATTTTAGGACTACTTAATTCATATTTGATGACTTGTAAATTATAAGTCCAAACTGATTTCTAAAAGACCTAATAGGACATTAGACATAGAGCCTAATGGTACTACTAGGACTAGCCACTTACATGTGACTAGTACATGCAAGTTTGACCCTCAACACCAATTAATAAGACCTACTAATTTATACTTCCTGAGCCAAATGACTGCTCTCATTCCTGTACATTTAAAAATGGCTTATATAAGAAAACAGTTCCCAACCATGATCACTGCGACTAAAATTAAACACTTCATCTTCTTTTGCTTTCTCAAAGAGACTACCCGGGAAGTGCTGTGTGTACAGAGATATAGGGAATAGCCACTAAATTGTGTGGACTCTGATGGGATTTCTTCTTTGCCCAGAATTACTGTGGCTACCCTTCAACAAGTTTCAAATGTTTCCTAATTGCCGGGTAAATCTTTGTGCAGTCTTTGCACTAAACTTCTATAGACTCCTTTAAAACAACTTCTGGATTTTTTTGTCAGACTTATCTACTAATTTCACGTTCCCAAACTTTCAAAAGTTTCTCCGAGTAGGAATTTCAACTCAGTATGAACAAAACTGGCAACTTTACAAAAACACTTGAGTGTGTATGCATGAGCACAGATGAATTAAGTATGTAGTATGTAAATTATGTGACTGCTGAACCAAGTAAAACTCTTAATTTCCATACAAAAGAATGCTACGATTTGAAAAGGATCTTGTAATCATCTCTAGCCCAATCTTTTCTTAGAAGGGGAAATAAAGACCAAAAATATAAACCTCCAATTCCCAGAGCTAATTTGCAAGTAAGTCAGGTTCTGAGCAAAGACCTGTTTTTCAATAGTGCTTTTTTTAAAAAACTAATTGCAATCCTGTTCTACTGTGTAGTAATGGAGCAATGTTTCATGGTGTCCAGCTGTAACAAACAGGCACTGGCGCTGCTTTCAGGGCAACCACCTTCTACTTGGATTTAGCTTCAAGGTTCAGAGACTCATGTTGATAACCTGGCCCACTGATACCATTCCTTTTACAGAAAGAATTGGGGTTCGCACAGGTAATTTGTTTCTGACTTATAGGGGAAAGCTCCTTGTTATCTTCTAAGTACGTCATCTTGGTCAAGGTGCAAACTCTCTGGACCTCAGTTTAAAGATTAATAAAATAGAATTAAAAACAACCAAGGTTAACAGGATAATTACACTTAGCACAATACCTGACATATGTCGAATTCCCAAGCGGGGGGTGAGAGCGGGAGAGGGCGGGGGCGGGGAGAGCGAGCGGGAGAGAGAGATGCTACTACTGTTAATACACATCTTTGTAGTTAATAACGTTATTTGCCTAGCAAATACTGGACTGGAATTCAGTCCCTGGTTGCAGGTCTTGGTCCTCTCAGTAACAGAATTTAGGGTATCTGAAGATGTCTGGGATGAGGAAGAGGTTGAGATGTAGTACCTGCACCCGGGAACTATCGCAAACTGGACGACCCCCTGACCTCAAAGTCACTTGGTGAAGTGAAATTCCACGAGACCTGTTCGCCGGTCAACCCGAAGGTCCGGAGGAGACGCCGAGTAGCTCCCGCCGCCGCCTGAGACCAAGCAAAGAGATGCCCTTGCTTTGCCACGTGTTAGATCTCAACAAGCTATTTAAGGCCTCTCTAAAGTCAGGGACTTGACGCAGGGAAACGGACATCGCACGCTTCCATTTCGCACACCTGGCCCAAATTCTCTTCAGCTCTGGGAAACCTCTGCGGTCCCAGACGTGACGTAGCAGCTGCAGGACAAACTCCACTCCTATTGGTCACTTCCGTCCAATGGGAAGAGCGGTGCGCGACCCTGCTGAGCAGGAGGCGCCATTTTTCCAGAGCCTCCGCCCCTAGCTCCACCAATGCCAACGTAACCGCGACCCGGTCACCCATTTGGCAGCCAAGGCCGGGTTTGCGTCATTGTCTGTGCGCCGGAAGCGACAGCTCTTGCACTTGTGCATGGTGACGATAGTGAGTCCATGCCGTCTAAGTTAAACCGAAAGTGGTGCTGTCAGGCGGCGCAATCGTCAGCCCTTTGCGGGCCCCAGGGCCATGGCGGTATTCCATGACGAGGTGGAGATCGAGGACTTTCAATATGACGAGGATTCGGAAACGTATTTCTACCCCTGCCCGTGTGGGGATAACTTCTCCATCACCAAGGTAACTTCCCCCTCCCCGCAGCTCACCAGACCAGGAACATTTTCGCTTTGTTGTGTTGGTTGGCGCCGTTCAGTCTCCTTTGCTGCTTGGAGTCATCCATGTCCTCTTTTCCCTCGCCTAAAGTTAATACTTTGACTTCTCAGTGGACATACCGTTCTGGTCTTCAGTCCGGCCATGAACGCCGGTCTCTTAACACTGCACCAGCTGTTCTTAGAGTCCTTTGCTTGGGATACATGTTTGGGAGAGGAGCCTCGTTTTTCATTTGCTAGTTTTATTATTATTTATTTATTAGTTTCGAGATGACCGACCCTCGCCTAACCTTCCTTCGTGGGTTTTCTTCTTAAGTGCTGCGTGCAGGAGTAGCTGGGGAAGGCTCTCTGAGCTCTCGCCCTGCGGGGAGGCAATCTGCCAAGAGACTTGCAGGTGGGGGTGGGCAACGTTTAGAGGAATAAAACAGCCAAGGGAAGGCAGTTCTGACCACACGTTGTTTGATTTTCTTATAGGAAGATTTGGAGAATGGAGAAGACGTGGCAACTTGTCCTAGCTGCTCTCTCATTATAAAAGTGATTTATGATAAAGTAAGAGATAACATTTTAAAAGGAGAAAGAGGGTTTTGGGGTCATAGTAAGGACCTAGAGCACCCTGCCTGTGAAATTAGGTGCAGAAGGTTTCTTAACAATGTGTTAGGAGGGGCTGGGGATTTAGCTTAGTGGTTCCGTTGCCCACCTAACAATGTGTTAGGTAAAGTGGTATTTTTTTAAAGCAAGCTTTTTAAATTATTAATAAAGATCCACATCATTAAAATATAGTTACATAACTCATGGTAGCTTTAGAGAAGTTAATAATCTTTAATGGAAAAAATATACGTAAATGGAAAAAATAATTATGAGTTTATTTAATTGATACTGTTTTCCGTTATCCAATATGTAATTAAATTTGTTCAGCGCTCCTAAACAACTATGTTACTTCTTGTTTGACTTATACATATAACTCTTTATTATCTTGAGGTATAATTCCTAGTTGCAATTTTGTAATTTCACTTGAGTCCTTAGTTGTCCTATTGCCTTTCATCTAAGCATATTGACAGTTGAAAAGAACTAAATATTTTTCCCACCCACTCACACGTTCTAAGTTTTGTCAGTACTTTGAAGTCCTAAGTAAGGACTTAGCACTAAGATTGTATAGAGGGAAAATGAGGATGAAGCACAGAACTTTATGAGGAGCAGGCTATAATTTAGACTTTAATGTGGAGACTTAGTTCATTCTTGTAGAAGAACATACTCTGGTGCAAAAAAGGGAGGATAGACAGAACAAGGGAGATCAGGAGTGCTGATCTGGGACAAGGTTGTAATTTTAAATAGGGTGACCATGGCAGGCCTTGCTGAGAAAGGCCTTATTCATGAAAGAAGTGAGGCAGTGAGTCATCTGCATGTGGGAGGTAAGAGAGTTGAGCAAAGGAAACAACTAGTGAAAGAACCTTAAGTAGGAACATAACTGGATTTGTCAAGGAACAAACAAAAGAGACCGATGTGACCAGAACAAATGAGTGTGAAGATAGTCCAAGATGAAATAAATAAAGCTGGGCAGATCACAGACATGTTCAAAGGCCACTTTAAAGACTTCAGCCTCTTCTGTGAGTGATACAGTGAGCCACTGGAGGATTTTTGAACAGAAGAGTGCTATGTTCCCACCTAAGTTTTCGAAGAATATTTCTGGCTACTCGGTTCATAGTAGACTCAAGGAAATGAAGAAAGAACCAGAAAAACTGAGTAAGAGGCTATTGCATTACTCAAAGCTAGAAATGGACCAGGCTGCAGCAGTGGAGGTAGTGAGAAGTGGGAAAATACTTTGAATGATAAAGATTTTCTTACTGGTTGAATATAGATGGTGAGAGGAATCAGGGATGTTTTCAACGTTTGTACCTAACTGGAAGGACATAGTTCCCATCAGTTGAGGGGAGGTAACCGCAGTTGTACAGGGGAAGTTGGATATACTAAGCTTGAGAGGTCCTTATCATCCAAGTGGAGTTGTTAAGAAGTCAGTTAATATTCATGTCAGGTTCAAAAGACAGAACAATGGTGGTGTAAATTTGGGAGTTAGCAACAGATGGCACGTAGAGCCCGGAGACTAGAGGAGATCACCAGAGCTTTGAATGTAGATAGAGATAGAGGAAAATAACTGGCCTGGGATGCTCCAAGACTTAAAGGTCATGGAGGTAAGTGAGGAATCTGCAAAGCTGACTGAAGAAAAAACAAAAGCTGTGGAAGGAGGAAAATCAAATATCTCATCCTGGGCACCAGATAGAAAAAGTGGAAGAGGTGATGTTCCTTGTCAGATGTCACCAGTGAAAAGAAATTGAGAATTAGCTATTGTTTTGGGCAACACAGAATTCACTTGTTTGGGTGATGAGAGCAGTTTCAGTGGAGGACCAGGGACAACCTGATTGGCGAAACCCAGTGGATGGAAAACTGGTTGGAGAGACTGGGAGAACAGGAGGCAGTAAGTCCAGGCGTTTCTTATGAGGATTTTACTGCAAAAGGGAGGATAGACATGGGTCAGTCATTGGTGTCACAGAAAATTAAGAGGGGTCAAGGTCACAGACACTCAACTGCATCAAATGATTAGACCCTGGACGGTTAGATTTAATCAGTGTTGTGGTTTTGCCAAGTGAATAGGAGGAAGGTGTGAGAGAAGGGTGATAACTGACCATGGATACTTGAACAAGGTAAAGAGAACATCAAGAGAGGGAAGGGACTGAGAGAAGGTGGTGGTAAGAATACAGTGGATGGCCAGAGGAATGGGAATATAGAATCCAGGGAAGGTAGATGAGAGCAACAAAGAGGAATAATATTTGAATAGTCTCATGAGTGAAATTCAAAGTTAGTGGATTTGTAGAGAAGGAAGGAGAATAGTGACAAAAAGGAGCAACCAGTCCCCACTGTCAAGTCCTGTAGTACTAGGGCTCTGACAACACACAGCCACTACTGGAGGGAGACCGTGGGGAAACTGTCCTTGGGGTATGGCTTCATCTCAGCCTCAGTACTATTGAAATTGTAGGTGTGATTGTGCAGGTCTGACGTGCACATGGGCTGTTTAGCTGCATCCCTGGACTACCCAGTTGATACTGATAGCAACCTCCCCCACTCATGTCAACCCAAAATCTTTCCAGATAGTGGTAGCAAAGGGACATTTTAAAGAAGAGGTTGGGGGCCGGGGATTTAGCTCAGTGGTTCCTTCACCTGCCTGGCCAGCACGAGGTCCTGAGTTCTATCCCCAGTACCAAAAAATAAAAAAAATAAAAGGTTGAGAAAGGGAGCATTGTGCTGATGATGCACCATGAATTCCAAAGAGCACAGCAGGGATCTGGGTGGAGGACAGGGGAGAGCAAAAGATACAGAATCAGGCAGCTCCTTTAGAGATCAAATTGTAGGGATGAGGGGCAGCTGGAGATGGAGCGCTGTGGTATAGCTGACATAAACCAAAGCAGATGATCATATTGAACTTCATGTACAAGTAGCTGATGTTGCAGGTTATCTGTATCAGGAAACACATAAAGACCTAGCCCTTTTAGTTGGAAGAAGTAATTCTTTCGAAGAGGATAAGTGGCCAAATATTGAAGTGATGAAGAGAAATTTAAAGGACGTCACTTGTCTTTTTATTATTTCTGGGTAAGTGGTTACATGAGAAGATGGTATCTGAGATGAGAAATGAGTTTATAAGATAAGATGCCTCTTATTAAATAACGAATTCAGGACTAAAAACATACTTTTAAGATTCTAATGCTAATATTGCTCTTTGAATGAAATGACACAGAAATGGAAAGGCAGCTGGATTGATTCTGTAGCAAAATGAAAATAACATCAGTGCATCTGTGATACAGAAACTGAGTGATTAATGTTGTTTCTTCTCTCTGAGGATCAGTTTATGTGTGGAGAAATGGTCCCAGCCCCTTCAACCAACAAAGAATTAGTTAAATGCTGAAGAAGCCATCAGGAACTCACATCCTGGATAAGTGGATGGAAATACCAAATGAAAAGTCGTTGGCTTTGCAGTGACAGCTGCTTTCTTATTTGCTGTTCATTAGAGTGTGGATCTGTTCATCATCTGCTGGGTTCATCCCCAAAACTTTTATCTGAATTTCACGCTTAGAACTTTGACTTGGAAGTGTTCTTAACCACCCAGCTGGATTTAGAGAAAGGTAATTTTAATTGGTGCTTTCCCTTAGTTTCATCATTTTTATATCCTAAACCTAGGTCAGTATCTGATTACAGCATTATCTACCTCATTCATTAGGATTCCTTCATTAAAAAGAGATTATATTTTTTAACATAGCTATTGAAATGAGTAAAATTAGCTCTATGTTTGAATATTGACATCAGCTTTGTGGTCCTAAATTTAAGAAGATCTGCTGCTTTGTCTGTACTGTGTTTGCAATTCCCCCACCACGCCAGCCGCCTCCGTCTTGCTGTTATTAGAATGCTCATGTTCATTCAGCGTGCCATTTCTGTTATACTTCATGCTGAATTCATTCCTGGTGTTAAAAAGGAAAGAAGCAAGGCATGGTGATGCATGCCTGTAATCCTAGCACTTGGGAGGCTGAGACAGGAGGATCACCACAAGTTTGAGGCAGCCTGGGCTGCACAGTGGGTTCAAGGCCAGCCTGAACTACACAGCAAGACTGTCTCAAAACAACAATAACAAGGCCACGTCTTTCTCCATAGTTTCTCCACAGCTACAAGTTAATGAACAAGGAAGAAAGTCTAAAGTGAAATGGTCAAAGAAATGGAGTTTCCTTATACTCTGTATGTTCTTTGCCAAGTCAGAGCAAGAGAAACTGCAGAAGGAAATGAAATCTGTAATAATGAGAGGAGCAAAACACTTAAGTAAATGAAAAGCATGGATGATTTTGCCACCTCAGAATGAATATTTTTGTCTCTGGGTTTTTATTTGTTTGATGATAATACTAATGAAATTGCACTTCAGAGAGGAGTTAATAACTCTTTATGGCTGGTAGCAGTGCTTTGAATGTATACAGTATTGTGTCACTACCAAAGGGTAAACATCTACAACAGAAATGGGAGGCCTGTTCTGAATAAATATACCCAGGAGAGCACATTCAATAAATCTGCATCACATGCAGCCAAACCAGACATGCCCTCCTGCAGAGAAATGTTGCCCTGGAGAAAGGCAAAAAGAAGACAGGCTATTGGTCTTCCTTTGCTGCGGTGCTGCAAGTAGGAAGAAATTAGGATCACTTATATGAGAATTGAAAAATCCCTTGATAAATACAACTTAGCTATGTAGATATAGTTTTGAAAATACCTAGCAGGCTGTTTTGGGAATGGCCTCGTGATCAGAAAAATCACTTCCTTTTCCTAATTAGTAAGTGCTGCACACACGCATCAGAGGTTTAGATTAAAGCAATCTATGTAGACTTTTTTTTTAATGGCTGCTGGCAGCAGCATTGGACTGAGACATAATTAAAATATTCCAGAAGTGCATAATAGATTGTTAGGTATATTCTTGATATGATGTGAAATCTCATTGCTGTGTGGAACATTGGTGTCCAGAAGTAATCCACACTGCCCTTGAGCAAGGTGACTGCTCAGAAGAGAGTGAGGTGCATGCTGACTCCGGTGGGAATGAGCTGCCAAGAGAAATGAACTGTCCCGCACTCATGTCAGTGCTTCCGTAGATAGTGCTCATGTGTAATCTGTTTCTGCTGCTGCTGAATTTCAAACAGGAACGGACACCCTGAGGAGCTCAGTCACTACATTTGTGAATACAAAACATACCAGGAATTAATCCTACGTTAAGCAGAAAGAGAAACCAGTGTCTTTGAAGTAGTACTGGACTTCGGTGTGATACATGTGCCGAAGTGCCTTATTCAGCACTCCCACCCCTGCCCCGCCCTTTCTGGAGCATCTGTGAAAACCGACTAACCAGGTTCTGTGTCTGATTGACTTTGTCATCGTTGGCCAGGCCAGCAGATTCCACATCTGTATGGGTGGGAGACCATAGCGGGGGTTTCTTGGCTGTCAGGTCTCGTTTCAGGTGTGGTGGCCTGCATGAACTGAAATGGGGATTGAAAATTTTATACCCTCAAACCTGAATCCTGAATCCTGAATCCTGAAAATACAGAGACTGGGAACTCCAGTTTCCTTCAATAATTTGATGTTGCCACACTTCTGAGCTTGGAAATTATTAAGTCAAACTGTTTAAAATTCTACATATACTTTATATGTACAGAAGCATTTTTCTTAGCACCCAACATTTTTGTAAGTGTACATATTAATTTACTACCAGAATAAGTTGTACTGGTGTGCTAAATAAAATCAGATAATTCAGATTCACTTGTTTCCATGCAGCTTTTCTTCCTCTAAATATAAATTTTTGACATTAAAAAGTTTGGTGTAATGATTTTATACAAGATAGAAAACCTCTTTGGGTGCTTATAAGTTTTTGTTAGTTTTTATTTTTTGAGACATGCCCACTGCAAGAATTCCTGGGCTCAAGCAGTCCTCCCACCTCAGCTCCAGTCAGCTGCTGTGCCCAGATTATCAGAGTTTTTTAAATAGGAAAGAAATTGCCTCTGTTTCTACAGTTTGGCCACTGAATTTTGACTCTGGATTATTGTTTTTTGAGAAAAAAAAATTAAGCTTTGAGTCCAGCATCAGTAAGGCACATATAGTTGGATTCTTAGATGAATAATTCAGTTTATCGCTGGGAAAGAAAGTTGATATGAACTATTTTTAATGCTGGTTGTCGATTCTTGGAGTAGTTTTGAGAGCCCAGCTCTGCTGAGGACACAATATTAATTCTTCCATTGTGATCTGAAAGAAGTTACTTCATCTTTTTTGTCTTGGTCTGGTGACCTATTTCCTCCTCCATACTGTTGCCTTATGAATTCGCATTTTGCAAGTGCCTTGGGGGTGCTTGCACTAGGTTAAGAAGACATGGTTTCTGCCTTTGTGGAGGTTGCACGCAACTAGACGAGATGGGAATAAGGCCCAGAGGGAAACAAACCAGATTTTGTGACCATAGTGGAGCAGGTGAATATGGGTATGAGGTGTACTGAGAGTGGCCTGAAATACCAGAATGAAGCAGCTTTATGAAAATCATTAGATGAGCTAATAACATTCTAACAGTGCCTACCACATATGCAAAAAATAAAGTTCTAACTGAAAGGAACTCACTGTGAACATTGGCAGCATATCCTTAGCACATAAAAATGCAAAGTTTTGGACATTCCCATTCCTCACCTTCCTGAATCATAAGGGCCCTCCACCCGCTATTTTAACAGCCCTCCAGCTGATTGTGACCAGCTAAAGTCTGAGAACCACTGGTTTTTAAATTTGATGGCACATTGTAATTACCTGGGGTGACTTAAAAACTGATGTTGCAGAAAGCCAGATTTAATTGGCTTGGGTGCATTGTGGGCATCGATTTTTTTTTCTTTGGGGGGGTAAGAAAAAAAATTTTTAATTGTCCCTGGTGACATGTGCACCTGAGGCTGAGAACTGCTAGAAAAGCAAAGAATGCATAAGCACAAAGTAAGAAGGACCCGGATTTTTTAAATGGCCACACCTACGCTGCATGAGGAACAATGAGTGTGGGTTCATTTGACCTCACGCTGCATTCAGGCCTCCAGTCTGCCTTCAGCAGCTAGCCGGAGGGAGCCCTGGCTGGGTCCACTACGCTGTGAGAGAGCCTCACTGTGGGTGGCCTCTGGGCTGTGTCCTCTATTTAAACAGACAATCACGGTTCCCAGCACACACTCTGGCTGCTAATTACACACCTTATAAAAGTGACAGCTTCTGCAGGTGTAAGTAATTAGGATTTCTTTAACTCGTTTAGAGATGCCTACCATTCTCTGCTTCCCACCAAGCAAATCGCTTATGATTACATATTCAACTGAGATGCTGTTTTATAAATTACTCATTGTTATGGGTTTGAAACAAAGGACATGTTTAAAAAACATGCACATACAGAAATACCATCTCATAGTCCCACAAAATGGATAAAATTGGGGTGGGATGTAGGATGGGACTCTACCTTCTACGTACTCAGAGACAGGTTGAAGAAAAGCCCTAGAACACAGAAGAAACACTACTTTTAGATTTCTGAATAAATATTGGTCAAATTCTAGAAAAACAAGTTAGCATTTTTTTTAAAAAATCTTTTTTTTTTATTTGTTTTTTGTTTTTGCTTCAGACTTAACCACTAAAATTAGGGAGGAAAACTTGCTACTTAGTTTCACTGAGTCCTGGCCCAAGTTGGAGCTTTCAGGGAAAATAGGAGGCTGGTGGAGTAGAAGGTGCTGCCTCTAGGGCGCTATTACTCAGAGTTTGCAGCCAAGCATAGGAGGGGAGCCAAGCGCTGTGGTTGCTGCTGGCCAGGAGAAAAGCTGGATGTGCCTCAGAAAAGAGGGAGGACAGTTAACCACCCAGCCCCTCTGCATTTATCTGTCATCGCCTGTGACTGCAGTGCTTTTCAGTCATGGTTGCTGCTTCCTTTCCACCTTCTAAACCTTGCATGAATCTCTCTCTCTCTCTCTCTCTCCTCTCTCTGTCTCCCCAACTGTAACCCAGAACCATAAAGGGAGGGGAATTCTGGGAAACTTCCAGCTTACAAAAATACAAAATTGCCACAGTGATTGATAGTATCAAATGCCAACCAAACCCACTTGAATCTTTTTGTTAGAAGCCCTACTATTCTGTCTTCACAACCTGTGAAATATCATCACAGCACCTGCTCTCCAAGAGAGGACAAGTACTGGAAGACTGACCTGGGTACCAGGGCAGACTTAAAGGGGGAGAAAGAGAGGCCTGTGGGCAAATACGGCGAGTGTCACGTGTGTGGTGGGGGAAGGGCTCCAGCGCGGAATGTTTCCGAACTCAGGCGATGCTGCTGTAGAGTAGGGTTGTGGTGGCGAACCTAGGGCACGTGCGCCACAGAGGGCTGCTTGTATCGTTGAAAGCTCTGAAACATCCACCATCCCTGGGCTGGGGGCTTCCAAACTGGCACAGAGCCACAGGCATTGCTCCAGCCTAACCGGGGTGACACTTGGGTGAAGCAGTTCTTATCCGAGACCTGACCATGACAGCAGGACCATCACCAGGCAAAGATTTTGAGCCAAACATTCTTAGAGGGAACTGTGTTTTCTGAATAGGGTAAAAGAGTCTACCTTTGGACAAAAATTAATGTTGACAATGAAGAAGAGGAGAAAATAAGCCGTAATGGGTGTCACATGGATGTCAGACTCTATATACACAGGCTGCCAAGGGTCACCTCAGAGAACAGTGAGTCCCAGTCCACACCTTCCTATAGCAAGGAGGAGTTGGGCCATTAACAGAGCTTGTGGGTATCTCTTAACTACCAGTTGGTGAGAGGGCAAGAATGAACAGATTGGGCAGGGGACTTGGAACCACTTAATTGAAAGATAATGGATGTGAAGCACTTACACAATGTTTGCACATAATCAGGACACAATAAATGAGAGTTTACATACGTCTTACTTTTCTCACTGCTGAGACAAGCTACCCAACACTCACAATTAAGGGAAGAAAGGTTTATATAACTCACAGTGTGTAGAGGTTTCAGTCC